TATGCTTTAAGCAAGGGGAAGTCTCAACCTGAAGATCTTTGGATAATGCGGCTCGGTCAGAAGGTGTGAGCAATAGAAGTCTTGAGTATATGCTCTAAGTAAGGAAAGTCTCAGATAGTTGGTCTAAGTAGTTGCAAAAGACTTATGCAGCAACATAAGTTATTGTAATCATGAAGTGGTTATAATGAAATTCTCTTGTGAGACAAGGGGACTGAACTACTCTCAGTTAAGGGAGGAACCATGATAAATCTGTTGTGTCTTATGCTTTTATTTTATTTACTTCTTTTATATCTGCTGCCAATGAATTAAACCAGAATCTGAATATGAGTTCTGATTCTAAAACTCTAATCAGAAGTTAAATTAAAAGAAAACATGAAACACGATTTAACCCTCCCCCTTCTTGTGTATTTTTCACACCTTCACATTTCTCACATCCCTTCATGCATGCATTACATTATTAATAAGTGTCTCAATGGCACACTTTTATTTTTTGGCTTTTGTTATTCAATTGGTGTCATGTTCATCATGTTATGAGATTTAATTGATTTCAAATGGCATACATACGTTCATAATATTTTGCATTAGTTCATTTGGTTTCAAATCTTTGACCTTCTTCATATAATGGTTTCTTTTTTCTAAGCTTTAAAACTTAAAATTAGGATCAAGTAAAACAAAGGTTCATGTCTATTTTTTTCTATAATATTGCATAGTGGAATTTTTACATTGATTTTACACGTGAGTAACGAAGCATAAACCTAGAAAATTTTGAGCCTACACATCATGGTACATTACAAAGCTTTTACAAATAAAAAGAGAGCCATAATTTTCTAAGTGTGCAACATCCAAGCATTCCCTAAATTGCTCCATTTGATTCAACTTTTTTTCATCACCAAGACATCTCCAAAATTTTCCATCTTCGACATAAAGCATGTCATACACCATGTAACAAATCATCCATCAAATACCTATAACACAAACAACAAAAATAAGCAAATTTTAAAATTCAAAATGAGAGGGAAATGAAATGATTTTGCTACAGTAGAATAATAAGTAAATACAACAACTTTTGGTCACCACAAGATAAAGGTTCAGCAGTGCAGAAAGTACAACATGATAATATTCACTAAAATGGAAAACACACACCAAACTCCTTTGATTCCTTTGCACTATTCCACATTCATCAACAACATCAGATTAAAACTATAGTTCTCCCCATATAAATTCATCAGCAAACATGAACAAAGGGAGAAACACGGACATCCAAACATATTGCACACTAAAAAACCTAGCCATAGTTTTCTAACACACATTACAAAGAAAAACCACAACCATTACAATGCATTGAATAAAAAATCACACACACAAAGAAAACCTAACAGCCATAACAAAAAACACAACAAATCCATCTTCATACACTTACAATTCGAAAAATCAAAGCTAGCAACACAAAACAAAAACCAGTATTAACAGAAGTTCAGAGAAAACTTTGAATTTGAACAAACACCTTCTAAACACTACAGAGGAGAGGACAAACGTTAAATATGTGTACCTGAGACATTTTTTTTTACGAATTTATATTGAGGTAGAAATCATGTTTCCTTTTATTGATGGTTTAACTGCTATAGTTTGGCTTCCTTCATGTTTGTACTTCTGTTAAACATTGTTGAGAGATAAAGACATGATTTTTTTTGTGATAGTTTATTTGATTTCCACATCAGTTATCTCTATTTGCTTCATCAATGCTTGTCACGTGCAATTATGTCTTGGTTAGATCTGAATCAAGATGTTTGGTTTTTGTTTTTTTCAATGTGATGTGCACGGTTTGGTTAGTTTTATGAGTGATCCATTTTTTGTGACATTTTTTTCAATTATTGTTCTGCAAAGGAAAAGAGAGGGTTCGGCCACGGGAGAAATAGAAGAGTAACAAAACCAATTTGAGAGAGAGATTTCAGATTTGGAATGGTTTAGTCATTATGGTTTACGCTTGTTTCCGTTTTGCTTCATGGTTAATGTTTTTTTTTACGTTCTCATAGAGAAAGAAAGATGGGATCGTGCTCTTTGAGGGATATAAGAAATGACTGTGGTGTAAGATTTTGTCTTAAGGTTTCTTTATCCTCTTTGTTTTAGAAAAAAACCAAATCGGGTTAGGAGGGATCTGATCCGCTCCATGACCAACGCCCAACTAGCAGCTTCCCCTGAGCTTCATGCTTTTGCCCCCATCCATTATCCACACCCTCATTTAGTCTATTATCATATTTTTTTATTAGTCTTTTAGTTTTTTTTTTCTTTCTAACAAATTTCTTTTATCATTATTTAGAAAAACAAATTTTACTTTTGTAACTCTTTTTTTTATTTATTTTTAGTAATATATTAAAAATAAATAAATAAATTTTTATATAACCTTTTTATTATTCACTTATTTATTTTATTTTTATGAATATGTTTAAAAAAAAGAGAGAAATCATTGGGTCGGGTCTAGTTTGTCCTAACGTTTATACCTTCTTGTTTATGTTCACCCTTGTTTCTACTTTCTTTACTATTATTTATTTATTTATTTTCGTAGTTAGTGAATTATTTGTTTATTTAATTAATTGATTAGTTAAGTTGATTATAGTTGTAATTATTTATCCACTTTTTACTAAGTAAACTTATCTGACTATTTGTTTAGTCGATTAATATCTATCCATGTCCGTACTCTAACATGTGTAAATAATTGCACTCATTTCACACTAACTTCACTAACACTTCTAATCAATTTCAAAATAATTTCAAACCATTTTTCATTAAAAGCCCAAGTTGTAAGAGCTTGCAAGCTATAAGCATTCGTCTTCCCTTCAAAATACTTGTAAATATTCAAACCCTTTACATAATTAAAGTGAAAGAAAAAGATTATGTGGGTGAAATATCTAGACGTAGTTCTGAATATTAGACACAAGTTATAAGATTTTGTAAGTCATAAATACTCGTACATTCAAATCTTTTTGCTTCTTGGCACAACTTTCAAACTTTTTCAAAAACGAAAGACCAATCTTGTATCTTTATTAAAAAAAGATCAAATCGTTGTGTGAACTATAAACTATTATATTATATATATTTAAATAAAAGATCAATCTTGTATCTTTATTAAAAAATAATATGGATAAACAACTATCCACAATTCGGTTGGGCTAGTCCGGCTAAATATTGGACTTTTAATAGGTTAGGCTTAAAATTCTGAATAAATAACATGCTCTAATTTTTTTGTCCTAGCTTAGAATATTTTACGGGCTTTGGGCCGACCTATTTGGTTCGGCCCATTTTTCTGGCTCTAGTTGTGTCTAGAGATGGAAAAACGAACTACCCAATCGCTTCAGGCCGGCCATGATGGGTTCAAGCCTTTAGCGGGTATGACGTAAAAGCCATAAATTTAAACGAGCTACAATTTAGTTGTTCAAACCCGACTCTTTATGAATTATAGTTATTCGGGTTGATCTGAGATATTTAATAATGATTTATTAATTTAAAAATATTTAAATACACTTTTAAATCTCTATTTTTGATTTTTTTTTAATTTTGTAGTTCCTTTAAAAATAATTAGGTTTAGTTTTTTTTGTCCCCTACATTTAAAAATAAAATAAAAAATTACTATTATTATTAATATTTATTCTATTTGACATGACAAAATCTGATTCTTCCAGTGTGTGCTAACAATAAAATGTTGTATGTGACTAACGACGAGGTGTCAACATAGTAGACATTTGTCACCCTAAGAAATGAGTGTGGGACGAGGCGGACTCGACAAACACTACTCTCTAAAACTTAAAAGGCAAAACAAACTTGCAAAATTCATATTCGCCTTATTAATACTCACGTCCGGAAGAAAAAAAATAGGATGGATAGGGTGTGGGTCTAAATCTTATGCTCGCACAATAAAAAAAATACAGGCAAAACGAACATGTTGACTATATCGAGTTTGTTTTATTACATGTTATAATTTGTATCACAATTCATAACTTAATACTATTTTTTATATATAGTTGATAAATATTTGATCACAAATGTGCAATGTAGAAGGAATTACAGACAGAAGCACTTCTAACTCCCCTAAAATTTAGATCGAAGAAATGATAAGTCCGCCTTAGCTCGAGAGCAAGAAAAGAAGGAGGGAGGGACTACTTAGACTACTTAATCGATAAAGCCCGGCACGATTACTGGATCGAAAGAAAGGTATACGTAACACTAACCCAATCCAGATGAAACAACTCTTATCGGAACCCAGCTTCTCTTTTTTAGCGAATAAAGATTGAAGTAGCTCTTACACTTACTATATTTTAAATCTTTCTTATTTTTCATATGAAAGAAGGAGAAAGGGGGCTGCTACTGCAACCAAGCACGCATACACATATATGTATTGTTATGTCCATGTTCCTTTTGAGTATGGTCTACTCTACCAATTATTAATATTTATGTAAACGTTTCCTTTTATAATAACAACTTGTCATCTAACTCCCTACTTCATGTAAAACATTCTGAAATCTTCTTTTTGATATTATGATTATTAATAAGAAACTATAAGTGAAGTGAATGTTCCACAGATTATCTTCGTGATCGGTGAATTCTAAATCTTTTATAATCCGCATATCATTCTTCTTCTTCATCTTGATTCTCCTTTTGAGTATAAAAAGAGTGAAAATCAAACAAATGCTGAACTGCTCAAAGAAGACTGGAGTCTATTGTTGAGGATGGAAGAAGAATGCATCGAGGAGCTCTTCATGCAAATATTGAAGTTTGATTCAGTGATTACAAAAAAAGGCATAATATTGAAGTTGAAAATGAAATCTTACATCTATTCCTCTAATAAACAATTAGTGAAAACTCTCATAAAACTATGTGATTATATTTGGAAAGATGTATACCAGGAAAAAGAAACTATCATCAAATTAAAAAAGAACTTTACAACAAGCAGTACAGCTTGGTATGAAAACTGAATACTTTTAGCTAAACTCAATTATTTGCCATCGTTAAAAGATTTTCCTCATATCATTGACATCGTCACTAGGCTTGGCATCCCTCAGCTTGAAAACATTCTCAATCACTGAGAGTTCTGTTGCTGTGGTGTCTGAACCACAAAAAGCTGTCCAATCATTTACTGTCATGCCAGCACCTATTACTTCACTACCGCGATTAACAGTCCCAGCAACCAAAGGAACTTGAAGAAGTGTAGAAAGTTCACCCAAGTCTTCGATCGAAGTATGCGGGTGGACCTGCATTCAATGTATGATCAAAAGATATAGAACATTCGTTCAAATTGAAACGTTCAAGAGGACGTGAATTGTACTTACCAAACCACCTTTGTTGGAGAAAGCACAGTAACTTCCCACAAGAACATTACTGGCAACTGTCTGCCTAAAAACTTCTACTCCAAGAACATCAGCAAGAACCTCCTCAGTTTCCTGATCAACAATTTCACAGTAAATACTAGACCAAGAGAATAGCACACAGAGAAGCTATAATCTATAATAATACAATACCCTGTCGAGATCAGTGTGCGTGAGGGCTACATAGTCATTACATGCTATACAATTTCCCAAGGCAGATAATTTTTCTTCTATACGCTGAACACGAACTTGATCCGGTAGACTGTTTTTCAAATGTTGAAGTTCTTCAATTGTAGCCATGAAAAAAAATATCAAAGTCAGTCCAACATCAAAATTGGTGCTTAGTTTTATGTCAATAGCAAAGATGAAACAATGTGAAGAAAAAATCATTAAATACACACGGCTAACAGTTCAATATCATCATTCAAAAGCAAAGTTCCTTTGAACGAGAACGAGTCACAGTTCTATATCATCATTCAAAAGCAAAGCAATGTTCTGAGTTCCTAATCTATGAGGCCATTATGCACCAAATTCGAAGACTAAAACACAAGTTTGCAATCACTCTCACTCCCACGACAAAACCTAGCAATCGTTAACTAACAGAACCTCACAGTATCTGGTTTTTTCAGTTTTTTCTCAACCAGTCACCAAAAATATTTTACCTAGGTGTTTCGCCAATTACAATGCCACAAAAGTTGAGGTATATCGCATGACGTAAAATAGCACTAATCAATACTACAAACAATAGCATAATATCAGGAATCACCTTGGTCTGTGGTGGTATGAGGCAATAGAAGCCCATTCTTGTTTCCTGCAAACCAATAGTAAGTTAAATTAGACAATAGTTTAAAATCTAGTAATTCATAAAACAATAAACATAAGAAACTAATATAACCATCTTTTTATCGTTTTACTAAAGGAAGAATATATCTAACAGATCTATACACTATTCAAGTAACCAAGAAAGAAAAAACTCTTTACCAACACAAAGACGGCCAACAATACGAGTTCCACCAATGGAAGTTTTGATCACAGGGATAACATCTGATAACTCAGCTTCAAATGTACTACATCAAATCAAACCACAAGATTATTGTAATGGCAATTCTGGTCTATTTTGAAACCAAGAAAAGAACTTAATCTAAAGCAAAGTAAAACCTGTAGAAACTTTCAGAGGCTCCAATGGCAACCAAACAATAGGCATTAGTAAGTTTTGAGAAGACGCCAACTTCACAAGAATTCTCGAATCGGAGTCCTGCGTAAAACCATTGTCACCAAGTCTATCACGAAGCAATTATATATTGATTTTGAAATAACGAGATATGTAAATGTTTTATCACTTACTAGTTGCCATAAAGATTGGGAAGAGAAATCTTTGATGAAATAAACCAAGTTTAATATCTAAAATCTTTGATGTGAAAACAAATAAAGGGTGTTAATATTGATTAATAGTAAAAAGATGAATTATTATGATAAGTAAAAGAAAGGAATTCTTGGTTTGTGATTTATTATACCTAGTAAAGTGAAAATGTAACAGAGCTAAGAGCATTGATGAACATGGATAAGGGTTATTATTTATTACGGAAGAAAGAAGAGGAAATGGACGTATCGGTTACCAGGAAGCAGGAGCGAAGAGGAAGCGGTGGATGGAGGGACGCAACGATCAAAAACCCTACGAAAGTGTTAACCAACCGAATACCGAATTTTTTCAATTTCAGTAACTTTAAAAAGATTAAAATTAATGCTCAATTATGCAACTATACAATTTTTTTTTATTTTTTTTTTTAGAATTTACAATTTTACGTATTTTTTTATGTGTTGATATGTTTTTTTTAGGTAAAAAACAGAGGCAAATCACAAAAAGAAAAATTTACATAGTAATTAAATAAGGATAGTGATATTATCGGATCAGAAAATGATTAGCAGTCAGCAATACATCGTAAATTTCTTAATTCGTCGGTGGTGGAGAAGAGGAGGGAGTGTACCTGCAAGGTACTCCGATGACAAAGTAAGAGACGGAGTAGAAAAAACAAGTACAGATAAAGTATGTAGAGAATTGAATATCTGACCATCTGGTAAAAGAGAGTATTTATAATGTGCCTCTAGTGTTGGGTCAACAATTACTTTGCACTGAGTTGGATTGCTAGGCCCAATACAAGTAACTGTCAAGGTTTACATGGCGTACGGAAGACTAGCACGTGGTCTTCGCCCTGGGTCAACTGCCCCATGACCTTCGGGAGGTGGGTAGTTTCCTGATGACGTGTCCCCGCGTGGGGAGCACGTGGAGACCGTGGCGGAGACGTTTGAGAGCTCCCCGTATACGTTGATGGATTGTGCCTTCAATGGGTCCTCCCCAATGGGGAGCCGGGTTGGGTCGTACCCGACGGTGGGCCAGCCTCTGGCCCAATCTAGAACAGAAGCCCCCTAAGTCGTTGCTCCGAAGTAGAAGAGCAGTGATTTAGGAGTCAGTTAAAACGTTGAGGACCTGCCTAGAGGAGTGTCGTGCGTGTTCGAAACACTAGACTCAGGGACAAAGCGTGTGGCCAAGGTAAGGAGCTTGCTCGAGCGGACAGGAGCTCGCGGGGAGGCCTGTCCGTCATACGTAGTCCTAGCTCTTTTCATGTTCCCCTGGGGATATGTCCCCGGTGGGTGATGTGGCTGACGATGTGACGAAAGCGAACGGGAAATGAGCAGCTCTTGTCTCGATCAGGAGAGGGAGTTGAAAGGACGTGCACAATGTCTTCTAGGGCCACGTGTCAAGAGCAATGAATGCCTAGGGCGGCTACGAGTAGGGGCACTTGAGTGTCTAGTGATGCTTCATTTTCCGTGCTAGGGTTATAAATAGAGGAAGCTTGCTTCATTTGCACGTTCCCCTTCACTTCACTCAAGAAATTTTCCCAAGTCTCTCAAAGCTCTCTTCGCTCTCTGAAGAACGCCAGTCGTCACTGCCGCCGTCAATCTTTCTCCGTCTTCCAAAATCTTCATTCATCAAGTAAGTCTTCGGTCTTATCTTCAGATTTTATGAATTTTCCGGCAATTTTATGCATTTTTCAGCAGTTACTCTAGGGAGCTCATGAAGTTCCCAGGGGATGTGTGAAGATTCCAGCAGCATTCATGAAGTTTCCGGCGAACTCATGAAGTTTTCGACGCTCCTATGAAGTTTTCGATGAAGTCGTCGGGAAGCTCATGAGGATTCTGAGAAACTCTATGATGTTTCCAATGAATGTCTCGGGGACCTACGATGGAGGTCCCGGGGAGATTTTCTTCTCTTGACTGTGTGAACATCGCGGGGAAACCTCGTGTCGGGGAGGTTCTAGGAGGTTCCCCGTGTTCCACTTGAGAAAGCTCACACGTCGAGGAGCCTTTCTGTCGGGAAGAGAGGCTCATCGTCTTACGCTGGGGAGATGCCCCTTGCGGACAAGCCTTTCTGTCGAGAAGGGAGGCTCGTTGTCTCGTGTCGGGAAGATTCTCCTCGCAGACAAGCCTTTCTGTCGAGGAGGAAGGCTCGTTGTTTTGCTTCGGGGAGAATTTATCAAGCGACTCCTCGCCCCTCTCTTCTCTCTTTCACTTGATTTGCAGTGGAATGATGGATTTGATCTTAGACGTTGAATTCATCGTTTTCCTCTATTTTTCAGGTAAAATAGCCACGAGGATTGAGGGTGTTATCGTGATCGATGATGGATCCGAGTCCGACACCCCGGTCAAGCAAATTGGAGCAGAGCGAGCTCGCACACCCGAAGATTAGGACGGGAAGGAGCCCATAGGCATTTTGTTGCACTTCACCGTCGACGACATTTATGTGTTCGCCACTGTCGAGGACCGCGTTGTGTGCTCTCCCCCAAATTGGATGGTCTATAAGCCCAAAGAGAAGCACCGCATCTGCTCGTATTTCAAGGGGATGAGGTTCCATATTTATGAGTTCGTGTTTCGGGAAGCGGGGCTTTGTCTGCCCTTCAGTGACTTTCAAAAAGGAGTGTTTCAGTGGCTGCATCTGTCGCCTTTACAGCTCCATCCCAACGCAATCGCGTTCGTACGAGCATTCGAACTTGTGTTGTAACACCCTTCTACCCAACAAACATTCATACCAATTAAAATAATATACACGAGTACATCACCACAAGGGTGCCACATTTCGTCATAAAACTTCATAATAACGTTCTACTCCATACCACGAGTTTTGTCTTGATAAATTCAATCAAATACTACACAGCGGAAAAATCAAAATTTTAACATAATTTGTAACTTAAAAAGAACATCTTAAAAATAAGAAACTCATAGCCTCCTGATGTCAACAAGGAATTAAAACATAAAGGTTCGACCCAAACGTCCCGACCCGATGTTACATATCAGAGCAAGACCCTCTAATCAACGAAAACACGCACCAAGAGAGCTAATCATAATCACCTGCACGTTACCCACGTGAAGGCAACATTCCAATAGGCAGGGTGAGTAATCACAAATCATTATACAAGATATAAGGAAAATATATAGTAGTCACGAATATCATCGTTGTTTCATTCCCCACATCATCTTACCATCAACTCACAATCATCTCTAAAACATCAATCAATTTACAACATCATCTACACGTCATTTATTCAATCATTATGCAACGCCACATAGTAAGGAATACAGCAACATAGACTTATGCATGTGGTACCAATTCATCATGTTGATGGACACTAGGTCATCACCCTCCAAAGATCCCCACCAATAGAATCGATTCTACATAAGAACCGAAACACATCACAACACACATCAATCCACACAATGAGATTAAAGCCAACACTGGACCGAAGTCCTAACATCATCATTGGACCGAAATCCTAATATGCTATGAATGCATTATGCAAAATGTCATGATCAATCATCACCACGGTTCGTCAAAGTTGCGTCACCATTCATGAAAATTCATCAAAACATCATAGTATTACATCATTATCATGCGACAAAATTCTTCAATTTACATCACAAATCATTAGGTTATAGTTATCAAAACACATCACATCAAGTACTCAAGGCATACGGACAACAAGACACAAGATAACACAAAAAGAATAATATAAAAACATCTGCTCCTGCTCGCTTGGCGCTCGCCCGACAAAGCAGCTCACGCACCTGGGTTTCTCCCGGCGAAGCACGGGCGAAACCCCTCCCCCATAAAATTTCCAGTAGCATTGTTATTTCACCCTTTCACTCGGTGAGGACCAAGCGAACACACTTCGCCTGGAAAAATAGCTCCTCACCCGACGATTTTCTGCAAACAGCAACCTGATGTGCGTGTTCAGCATACGAAAACCCTTTCCACCATTTTTCACATGCCCATTTTCCATCAAGCAGTGCATCACATATTTTTACAGGTTTAATACCATTCATATGTACATTCTCAATCAATTATCAACACCCAATTCATCACCTCACAACATCAACATATTCATACAATTTCATCATGGTTTCAATAATCAACACATAACACACAAAAACCTACATCTACCTTAAACCCTATATCAAATATAATAACCCGGATCGCCCTTTGTACCTCGAACTCTTAGCAATGGACTTTTATCTCTGTGTTCTACGGATGACTTCTTGGTTCTTTGTGCCTTAACTTTTCTTTCTCAGTTCTTTCTAACTTTTCACGATCACACAGGAGTGAACTTCTCCACTCTCTCTTTTTCTTTTTGTCACTCTTACCCCTTGGACCCCTATTATGATTTTCCCATCTTACCCTTACTTAGTCCACCCAACATTACCATCTTACCCTCAAAATCTCTACATAACCAATTATGCACTAATTTTAAATACCAAAAATATTCTGATTATTATTATCATGTAATTCCACATAATCAATTATGCACTAATTTATTATTATAACTCTAAATAATTTCCAACTAGATTATTTAAATTATAATAAGAGTCTCATTAGTCATTAGCCCAACACTACCCTTAATCCCACAAAGCATCATATAATTCATCAAAATTCACCATAACTTACTAATAATTAATAAATAATTAAATACGAAACTTGGGGTGTTACATGTGTGCCGACACCTTTTTATTGGAGCCATGATCCCCTTATGTTTTTCGTACTTTTCATTTGCAACGACAAACTTTCCAAGACTGGCACAACTGGGTGTCCTTGAAGCAGCCGAGAAAGCTGTTTCAAGCCTATATGGATTATGTCTGTTCCTTTAAAGACAGATACTTTGTTGTGAAGCATGTGACGCATGTGGCTGTCGACTCCTTATATGACCTCGTGGTCAAAGAGGAGGACGGGCAGCGAGAGGAGACGTTGGAGTCGAAGTTTCCCCTCGAGTGGGAGGAGGAGCACTTCAAACAGGGCACAAATAGTTA